GGAAGGGGGGGCGGGTTGTGGCGTGTTCGGGGGAGAGACGTTAAATGAGGGGTCTCCAGCGTTCTTCTGCCAGTTTCCTAAGATGTTTTGTTCCTAGGGGGTAACTAGCGTACAGGTAGATCTGGCAGGTTTATTGCTTTATACCCTGCAGCTGCTTGTTAACAAAGATCAGGAGAGCGGCGGTGTGCAGGTGCCGGGGAACTGCTGTATTCTTCACGCTTTGCCCGCGGAGAGCCAAAGGGGAACCGGCGAGCTCCGATCTCCTCTCCTTCCCCCGACTTCCAGTGCCGCTTCTGACGTTTTCGGGACTCTGATTCCTACGTTCTCTTTCCCGGGAGTAAATCTTACCGAGTTCGATGGCATTCCGTTCCGAGGAATCAGGCATCGTTTTTAAATCAGGAGTTGGATTTTTGAGAATGTACTGATAAGGGCGCTTTCACGGAAATAAATAGGAAAAATAATGTATGTGCGTGGCGGGATTGGGGTGGGGGGAGAGTGTCACACATGAGAACTGCCAGAGCCAGAAGCAGGCGAAATTCATTTGCCATTTAACTGTTCTGCTTCTTCACCCTCCTCCTCCTCTTTTTCCTCTCCTCCTCCTTCCTCCCCTTCTCCTCCATGGAATTCCTATGGGAACTATTTACTATGTGGACAGGAATTTATATGAAATGAATCATTTCTGTTATTTATTTATTTATTTATTTATTTATTTATGCCTATTTCAACACACACACACACACTTAAAAATGGTCTTTGTTTTAAAGTGTAGCTGTCTCATCTCTTTGCGCATGTTCCCACCCAATAAAAAGTGATTTCAGCTATAGGCCCAAATGAGTTTTGGTATAAACATATGCCAGCTTGCCAGCTACACAAGATTCATCAGAATGAACAGTGTGTGTACCTAGAAAGCTTGTATAGCTGGACGTCTAATAAATAAGAGGATCCCATTTAATTTATGGATCTCATTCCCTGTACTTTGGAAGGGACAGCAAATATAGCACAAAGAAAAGCTCACAAATGCATATCATAGAACAGGCTTTGTAGTGAGATTAGTGTGAAATTCTTATTGCTTCAGTTTCCTTTCTTAACAGCTACATGGAGTGACATCCAATACCACAGATCTGATCCAACACCATCAATATGGAATTTTTCATACCAAAATTTTTCTGTTGCAGGTCAAACCTTTATTTTCTAAAATAGACCCTCTTTCTGTCTCTCTCTAACCCATTTTTCATGTTTAGGTCTCCCTCTTTTTTAGCATCAAACTCAGTTGAACACCACAAGTGTTATACTGGCAATTTCCACCAATTTAATTAGCCAAATCCATCAGGCTGTGACTCTTCATTGGCTGGGGTTAATGACTCTTGAGCTGGAGAAGCATCGCTGTTGGGAGTAAATATTTATTGTGTTCAATTTTGTTGTGCAAGAGTCCTTCTGTCCCCCCTCTTTCCCCCTCCACCACTGGTTTGTACCTCTAAGCTGGACCACCATTTCCCTTACAAACCATGGTGGTGTCATCTGGTTCTCGGCCTTCTGTCCATGTGATCTTGTTCCTACAAGGGGCCTCTCCCCAGTGAGGCCTATCCAGGAAGATACCCAAACCCACTTGTTATTCCTATGGAGGTGAAGCTATTCTCATTCCTCCTAAAATGTAAGGCCCCAGGCTTTGGTATGGATAGGTGAGATGGAGAGAGTGTTTTTCAGGGAGAAGCCCCATTTCTCCTAAGGTCATCTCTTTTCATTCCCCTGTCTTTAGAAGAAATGTTGTTTCTTGTCCCTTTGTTCCCACCCTTCCTTCATTTTGTGCTTTCATATCTAATAAATGTAAAGGGAAAGGTTTGGAGTAAGGCTGGTGGTGGGTTTGCTGTGACCATTTCTACACAAGTGATTTATTGCATCTTTACAGTTCCCCAACATCTTTGTGGCGATATAAAGCCGCCTTCATTATTACTAAATCATTACAGTGATGGCTGGAAGATGCTATAAATCACAAGTGAGTTGTACAGAGAATCTTTTAAGGTGAAGTAAATCGTTCCTGCCTTACCATATCCTCAGCCCAGCAGTGATTTCCTCTGAAGTATGGAACTCCACTGGAAGTTAAAACCCATGAAAATTAATTGTACTAATTTCCAAATACAACCACAAATTCCTTATGAAGGAGAAAATCCCATCCAGCATTTGTTAATTCTCCTCAAGGGGTCTTAATTCCTTTGGACTAGGATGTTCTGTGTTTATGATGGGGTGTCTGTCGGAACTATATGAACCTTCATTTCAGTTTGTGAGACTGGACTATGAGGGTGTTTTTTTTTTTTTTAGTATTGTTATTATTTAAGTACTTGATTTAACAAGGTGCAATGGTAAAGAAGTAAACTACAAAGAATTAATAAAACTCAGTATTCCAAATCTTTCCTTCCTTCCTCTCTTGCACATTGACTCTGGCCCCTCCACACTTTTAGTTCAGCCATCCCACTCAATATTGCAAGAAAAAGGTCCAAGTGGGAGGTTTAGTTGCTAAGATGAACTCAGTTGCAAGGCTGATTCTGATGGAAATTTACTGTATAAGGAGTATTTGAATCTGAAGGGATATCATATGCCCATTTTCAGATGATTTGATGATTTCAGATTTGATCAGATGATCAAAAAAATCACCGAAGGTGAAGAGGCCTCTGCAAGTTTCAGGATTTTTAATGCTTTTGAGGAGGCTGGAAAGAACTGAACATGACAATAACGTCCTGCCCCTAACTTGTATTGTTGTAGCAATAACAACTGCAACATGGATGTGCTCATGTAACTATCAAGAATCAAGGTCTACTGGAGGGAAATGTTTACTTACAGAAGCCTTCTCTGTATTTCGTAGAGTCCAAGATTTAAGAACTTGGAAAAAAGCTCTTTTATGATTAGTAGCATAGCAAGCAACCTTGTTACAAGCCAGAAGAACTTACGTTACTTTGACCAGCCTGGACTAGCTTGGAGCCCAAGACTAACCAGTCCAGGACTTCCTCCCAAAACACTTTACCGTTGAGGGAGAGGAAGGAAAGTTTATATCTGCATGCTTAGATACTCTCCTATGTAACACGAATGTCTGACAAGGGGATCCTAAGACCAGGATCTAAAACTATTTGACTAAAAGGCGGGCGGGGGGGGGGGGGGAGGGGGCATTCTCAGTGCTACCTGGAGAGACTAGGATTGAACATTTTGCTTGCAAAGCAGTATTCCATCACTGATTTATAGTGCCTTCTTATCTGGATGAGGTGAGTATCAAATGAGTGCATTGGGGTGTGCACATGTGAACACAACTTCTATTTTAATAATGTGGTAAAGTTACTTCCATGGCTGGAGAGAAAATGCAGTTTAGTTTTCAGTCCGAGTTCTGCTTCTTTTCTTTGCCACTAGTCTATATTCCCTCCATGTATAGAATGGTTGGCTCTTTCATTTCATATTAATGGCCTCAACATTTCCAGTTTTTACTTCACCCTCCTTCAAATAAAATTCCTTTAGAATAAGGTAATTAAGGCAGAAGAGGCAGCTTTCTACCTACAGTTGCAAACCAGGGGCTGGTTTCACTTTCTCAACTTTTCTTTTTGATGTGGCTGCTTCTGTCTGGATGTCTTTGTAACAGCCAAATCTCCTGTCAAGGCCAAAACCGTGTTTGTTGTGTTAGAGCCACAGAACCTTTATTGAGGACAGGTCACCACCGCTGCTGACTCCCTGGTGTTTCAAATATTCAGAGGCAGAATAAAACAAGTGGAAATCATTGATTTAGTAGTCCATTAGGACTTCAGTAGGAATCTGGCAGAATCTGTTTAGGATTGCAGGGACTGCAGAGACTTTTCCACCCAGAGATCCATCACCAACACCTTGAGCTTGCAGGTGGGCCCTTTCTTGCCAGCAAAAAAAGAAAGGAACTCAAAAATATGCTTCGTATGAAGCGTAAACTGTGAGACACAAGTACTGTGCAGCAGATTTGACTCCTTTTCACCAAAGAGATGGTTGTGTATGTGCCACCCAAGGTGTACCTTTTTCTCTCTCACACACCTCCACCCCCCCAACCCCATCCTCTAGCATTTGCAAACAGGATCCCCTGCTCCAAAGGAGTGCAAGGAGGAGGGAGTTCTATTGGTTCTGATGTCCTTGCTAGGTGTGCACAGATCGACACCACCACCTCTATTTTCTCACAGAGTCGAGTATTTCTTGCTGAGATCATGCACTTGGATCCTAATCTGGGGGAGAGAATTAGATTGAAGGGAGGAAACAATGACAGCCATAGAACTTGCAGAAAGGTGGGCTTCAGTTGCATATGAATTTCCCAGTCTAGAATGGGATGAATCCCAAACATTTCTGCTTTTGAAGAAAGTTGGCCTGGCAGCCACCAGCCACCAACACACCATTTAATTTAAGGACTCCATTGATGCCAATGGAGGTGCTGATTCATTAGGAGAGCATCTCCAGTCCAGTTTGCTAGAGCAAAGGGGGACCATTTTCCTTCCTCAAGCACAATCCTTTTCTGCACAGAGTCCAGCTTGAGGAGTCTGAAAACGGAATGCTCTCAGCTCCTTGGTCTCCGCCCCCCCAAGTTTTGCTAACACCTTGCATTCCGATAAGAACACCATTTTTAATGATATTTATGCAGAGTTGGTACAACTCAACCAGGCAGGCTTCCAAAGTTCCTAGGTGCACCACAGTGGTTGCCCAGAAACATGCCTCATTACAAACATGTTTTCATTTCCACGAGTAAAGCTGGTAGGTGCGAACTTGGCAGAAAAACCAGTTCCACCAGCCTTTCCTTATCTTTCTCCAACTTGGCGCCCTCCAGAGGAAGGGCTGGATTATAGCTCTTGTCATTCCCATCCAACATCTCTGGAGGCTTCAGGTGACGAAGTTGTAGGGGTTGGGAATATGATACTGGAAAGTTCTTTTCGAAATTAATCAAAACATAGCAACATGCATACAGCCAGATTGCATTTTAACAGATGTGTGTTTTTATCATCACCTTTGTGTTATTCTTTAAATAGTAACATTACAGTTAATATTCCAATGGAGAACAGGTATTCCCAGCTTTGGTTTGCATGACCGTTTTTTTTTTAAAACAACCCCCCCTCGACTAATTTCCAGAGGGAAAGGAGTCTGAAAAATATTCACAATACTTCATATCCTCATAAACTTGTTCATTTGTTAAGGAGTCCAAAATCTTTTGAGATTGTTTTCCGTCTACATTTCCAAACAAACTATGTATTCTGCTATTGCTTTCTATGAACTAAAAAATAAAAAGGAAGCAAATAAAAGGGGGAAGCACTGGTAGAAAGTTACCTGCCAGTTCTCATGATCGAAACTGCTACTAGAAACTTTAAGAGAGGCTCATGGAGCTGCTTTAACAACAAGCCATCC